GCATGGATCCTGAGTAAAAAAAGCTCATAAAATATGGATTTGGAGTAAGTAGGTAAATGGCATTTAGCTGTTGCCAATCTGCAACACCTGCACGTGGAGAGGGTTAACGTCCCTAAGGTTGTAACAGAAAAGAAATCATGACATAAAATGAAGTGCAAATTTCAAAAAATAAATTAATTGTGGCAGCGTTTTCATAAAATTAGGGAATAGTCATAATCATAATCCACAAAGTGCGACACGCGAAACATAATAATACGCTTCAAGCTCGGACGTGACGTCAAATCCGAGGTGTGAGTGGGAGTCGAAAAATAATCGAACGGTCTTACTTCAGTTTGGCAATTCGGAGGAAGCAGCAATGTCATCGTAGTTGCTGTGGCGTAAGAGGAAAGTTGTGGCAAAGAGACGAGGCAGCAGGAATCATGTCCACAAGGTAAAGGCAAAGTAGTCACCAGATCACTGTAAAAACTGTCAATTACAATCATACTGGTTAAAAGAATTTGAGTTCCATATTTTCCCAGTTTGGTTGAGCAAGATTTTTGTAAGGAAGGAATTAATCACTTACCCCAAATTGCCGCTTGGTCTCAAATAAAGGCCTGGTCTGTTAAGTGATTGAAACAAATAAACGCCCCGGCTATTATTTGGTATTTTACAGTATTTAAAGTAAATAAAAATAAAATTAAATAAAATAAAAGTACAGGTGGTATTTTTTAAGAGCTATGTTTTGGTTTGAGCATGTCCACCTCGTACGGGGGACACAGATAGGCCAATTTTATGGAATTTAAAATGTAAATCCTACAAACTGTTCCTTTAAAAGACATAATCCATAATAGTCTTCATAAATATCTTGCCTAAGGACACAACGACAGAATTTGGGTTGAGCTGGAGTCAATCCTCCAACCTCCAGCGATGGGGGATCACTGTACGAATGTTTACTGTACTCGCGCAACAGACATTTTGCTTAAATCCATGGGGAAAAAATCACGTAGAGGACCTTTAATTATGTAAATCGAAATAAAAAATCTAAATAAAAGAAAAGTACAGGTGGTATTTTTTACGCGCACATTAGCTGTAATTTGAAAGAGTGTAATTATGTCTAAATACTGCTGGTGCTGTGGGGTATTATTAGACTAACAGCTTGAGCAGCTCTGGGTCTGGTCCAAGTGCTGAACCAGGACTTCTGAGCTCCTGAGCTCCTGTCAAGCTCCTGTCAAAGCTCCTCTGACTCTGCTCCTGTCAACCTGACTCTGCTCCTGTCAGCTCCTGACTCCTTCTGCTCCTGTCAATGCTCCTGTCAAGCTCCTGTCTGCTCCTGTCACTGCTCCTGTCTCCTGACTCTGCTCCTGTCACTGCTCCTGTCAACTCTGCTCCTGTCAACTCTGCTCCTGTCACTCTGCTCCTGTCAACTCTCCTCTGACTCTGCTCCTGTCAACTCTGCTCCTGTCACTCTGCTCTGCTCTGCTCCTGTCACTGCTCCTGTCAGCTCTGCTCCTGTCAGCTCTCTGCTCTGCTCCTGTCAGCTCCTGTCAGCTCCTGCTCCTGCTCCTGCTCCTGCTCCTGTCACTCTGCTCCTGCTCCTGTCTGCTCCTGTCACTCTGCTCCTGTCAACTCTGCTCTGCTCCTGCTCTGCTCTGCTCCTGTCACCTGTCTCTGCTCCTGCTCTCTGCTCCTGTCTGTCTGCTCCTGTCAGCTCCTGTCACTCTGCTCCTCTGCTCCTCTGCTCTGCTCTCTGCTCCTGCTCCTGTCACTCTGCTCCTGTCACTCTGCTCTGCTCCTGTCAGCTCCTGCTCCTCTGCTCTGCTCCTGTCAGCTCTGCTCCTGCTCACTCTGCTCCTGTCAGCTCTGCTCCTGTCAGCTCCTCTGGCTCTGCTCCTGTCAGCTCCTCTGGCTCTGCTCCTGTCAACTCTTGTCTGCTTCTTTGGCTCTGCTCCTGTCTGCTCCTGTCAGCTCCTGTCACCTCTGACTCTGCTCCTGTCAGCTCCAGTCTGCTGCTGTCTGCTGCTGTCTGCCACTGTCGGCTCCTGTCTGCTCCTGTCGGCTCTTGTTTGCTCCTGTCTGCTCCTGTCTTGGACACATTTGTGGCACATTTATAAATACTCTTAATCTCGGGGGCAGCGCTGATTCAAGCATCATTCAAGAAAAAAAAAATAAAAAAAATTGTAAAAAACTCAACAATAATACACTTGTTGTCATGGAAACGGTTACGCATCTGCTCTTGTGAGGGTCGGAGCGATAAAGACGAGAGGGGCTGGAGAAATGTGGAGGCTGTTCGTGTTGTAGATGTTTTTCTGTGGCTGCAGAACAAAACACGACCAAGAAATTCTGCAGCAAAATCTGAAACTGTGAAGCTGCTTCAGCTGCAGTCTTAGTCATTTAAAAAAAGTGTTGGGCAGTTTGTGAATTAAAAATGCAAAAATACTTCAAACTGAGTGATATAACAATAAAAAAAATCCCACTCATTCCTTCTACTGAGGTCATCTCCCATTTACATTTTCCATAACACTACAAAAAATTAACAAGCTGTGGAAAATAATGATTATGAGATCTGTATTTTCAGTCAAAAAATAAATAAATAAAAAAAGTTTCTAAACCTAAAATTCTGCTGCATTGTTTTATAGTTGTGATTCATACAGTGCACACTGTAGCTGTAAAACGCCTGTGCCGCTGCATGACAGGATCAGCAGCTCATGTCTGGTCGTGCGTCTGCTTTTTTAAATAAAGTTTTCAAACTTGGGTGTGCTCTGCTGTGACATCACGGTAGAAAGTGGGCGGTCCCTGATAACATCATCTTGTCACTGGTCATTATGGCTCACCGCGCTCGCAGACGATTGGCCCGCTCTGACCCCGCCCCCAAACGCCGCCACAGAAGGAGGCATCAGGGGCGCAGGGTCGTTCGCCTGGTTCACCGTCGCAGGTGCTGAGCCGACATGACCAGGCTTTAACCAATAAACACTTAGCACCATTTGCATGTGTCTCTCTTTTGTTTTTTGTTTTTTTTTATGTAAAAAAAAAACATTTTGAATCATGTGATGAATAGATAGATAGTATAGAATGTTCTGATGTCACCAGCGTCACATTGACCACTGAGAACATTGTGTCTCCATGGTAACCGCTGAACATTCCACCATACACATCCATGTAGAACATAAAGAACGTACAGATACATGAGACTGATCTAAGATTTGAGCTCAGAGTGATTCAGAGTCAGTCTCCAGGCTGTGTGTTTGTGACAGAGAAAATGTCTTTGTTTGGGCGCAGGCCTGTGCCCCTCGGTGGCGTCTGTGTGCTGGGGCCTTGAATGCTCCAAGCGGGAGACATCAGCACTTCATCAGTCTGAAGACCTGGACTTGGACCTGGACCAAGACCAGACTCAGACAGGACTCATAAATCTGTCTCTGTGTCTCTGAACACGGCCTAACCTTTCTGTAATCCTGAACAGGTTTTAACTGCAGAAAATAACATGGCATTCAGGAATTCTTTTATATTTTTACAGCAATAGTGGGTAAAATACAACAAAGTAAGATATCTGATGTGTGTATTTTCATATTAAAACATTCAATGGTGAAATAAAAAATATATATATTTAAAGGTCTGGACTCTTGTGAGTTTTAAGTTGTATTTGAACATGTTTGTCTCGTATCAGGGACACAGATAAAACACACTGTCCCTTTAAAGAATAAACACATAAAACTGAACAGGCTCATCCTCTGTATAATATACGACTACAGTGTTTCTGCTGCATCAGCTTTATCCCCTGGGAAACCGCCTCTGCCTCCAGCCGCCTCCATGACAACCAGATGCCCTGTCGCCATGACGCCCACTGATGCTCAGACTACCACATGGACGCAGGTGAAACACGCGACACGCTGGCATTTCCTCTATGGGCAGCTCTTTGGGTCAAATATTTATACAGTTTTACAGTCCTATGATCAGGAAGTGCACTGTTAGCATGTTAGTAGTTAGTAGTAGTAGTATTACCGTGGTGGTAAAACTCCGTACTTGTGAAAAACTTTAATAAACTCATTGAGGTGAATAATTAGGAAGCTTGTCATGTGGTGTTTATGTGAAGAATAACTCTAGAGCACTGCATAAATCTACTCTCACCTGTCATAAAAGGGTTGTCGCACCTGTCATAAAAGTGTTGTCGCACCTGTCATAAAAGGGTTGTCTCACCTGTCATAAAAGGGTTGTCACCTGTCATAAAAGGGTTGTCTCACCTGTCATAAAAGGGTTGTCTCACCTGTCATAAAAGGGTTGTCTCACCTGTCATAAAAGGGTTGTCTCACCTGTCATAAAAGGGTTGTCTCACCTGTCATATGCACTTTATCTTGAAATGAAACACTAACTCAACTGTTTTTGCTACTAAACTGTTCATAGGTTTAAATAGTTTTGTCTTTGTAAACTTTTTAACAATTTCATTGGAAACTGGATAAATCTGCAGCTTTGCTCTGAAAAACAGTCAAAAATGGAGCATGTGCTGCCTCCAGAGGCAACTGTAATTTCAAGTATTATGTGACATCATGTAAGACTGCCCTGATAACATCCAGGTAAAAGGTGGAGTTTGAAGTGTTAGACCAGGGGTGTCTAAATTATCTGGCCCTGAGACCAATTTTTGTTGGTCTTTAGGAGTCTTTGCAGATGGCCAAAGTAAACACAGACCGTACTTTTTACTGGAAATTCAAGTATTTCTAAAACTGTATAATCTTACTGCTTTGTGACAGACCTAAATTAGTGAAATGGCCTGGAATTAGTGTTCCGTGATGTTTTAAAGGTGGTGTATCTCTTTAAAATGTATCTACGTGAAAGTCTCGCTATTGACCATGAGTCGAGGGCCCTTCTCTACACTTATGTTTATATATATATATATATATATATATATATATATATATATATATATATATATATATTTATATAATTTTTTTTTTTTACTCCTTCAGGTGTATGTGTTTATTGACACTTAAGCAATTGTGTTAATTCATTTTAAATAAATGTAAAGTTAATACCTGGTGGCATGGTGACCCAGTTGGCCTGAGGCAGTGGGTGTGGGATCTGTAGCGGTGTAGTACTGCTCACAGCCTGCAGGGGGCAGAGCTGGGAAGAGCCGAGCTGTGTGTTTTCCCTGGGGTGAGCGGCGGGAGGTGCGGCGGGCGGGGCGTTGGAGCCGGCGTGTCCAGGGGCGTGGCAGGACACGGACTCCGCCTCCCTCAGTCTCTCCTCTCTGTGTTTCTTTAACCGTCTTTGGAGGAAACTACAGAAGCAGCAGAAGAGGACCACGGCCGCCCAGATGAGCCAGAACCCTGCAAAACAAGCCAGGAACGTGTACGTGCCCTGGGACATCACCATCCTGAAGGCCCTCCCTGGAAAAACCACCAGGAGACACCGAAATCCAACTTAAGTCTGCTGGTGCATTTCTTTATCGTGTCCTGGTTTTGAATGAGGTAATTTCCCTTTAAGTTAAAGTTCTCCAAAGTTCTCAGTTGTTTGTCAAACTGTAAATAAATTCTTCCTCAGATTTCGTACAAAAAAACAGACGTTTCGTTGTTGTCGTCTTCACATAAAATTGACGGAGAAAATCCATGTTGTAAATCCATGAGCGTGAAAAGGTTCACACGGCAATTTATCTGAAAAAAAAAGAACAAGAAATGAGATTATGACGCCTCCTGAACATTATTGCTTTGCCTGAAATGTTCCACTGAGTAGCATTACACTTTTCTATCTCCATTCAAAGCACTAATATCTCCATGGAGATGAGCAGGTAGCTGTCCTCCAACCAGAAAAGTTACATAGCGCTTCTTTAACCCACTGGTGGAACATAACGTAAACATAAAGTAAAAGTATGAAGTAAAAATTTGAGGTATCTGTACTTAACTTAAGTGCATTTTACAGTCTATATTTTTTACTTTTACTTCACTACATTTGAGAGCAGGTATCTGTACTTTCTACTTCACTACATTTTTGAACAGGACTGACAAGTAAAAGTATTTTTTATTATCGTCAGAACCCTGCTGAGAAGGCTGACGGTTTATTTTTAGCACATTCATAATTGGAACAAACAAAAAAATACAAAAAACAAAACATCCATCCATTTTCTTCCGTTTATCCAGGGCTGGGTCGCGGGGGCAGCAGTCTAAGCATTGACTCCCAGACTTCCTTCACCCCAGACACATCCTCCAGCTCCAAAACAAAACAAATAAAAAAAAAATATATATAGCTACAAAAACAGATTTAGTTGTTTCTTTTGAGCAAAATTCTGGTCAAAAATGCGTCAGAATCACCACATTTGAAGCTTTATTAGATGTCAAACTGCGCAAAATACTTACATTTTTAAACAGGTACTTTCATACTTTTACTAGTAGATTGTTTCATGTGATACTTTTACTTGTACTTGAGTATTTTTTGCTACTGTATCTGTACTTAGGACCAAAATCGAGTACTTCTTTAGGCTTTGTTTATATGATGACGGTCTGAACAGAAGACGCAAAAGTGGGATCTCGTTTTCACTTTTTATTCTGCGTTTAGACAAGCTTTTTCGGGAGGAAATCTGCATGCATACGGTGACGCAAAAGTGTGTGGAATTTGATTGGGTTTGCATGCCAGACGGCTCGGCGGTGATGTATGTGACGTAAATGTGTACACGACGTGAGCAGATCTGACCAGAGTTTTGCGTCTTGGGCAGTGTAGACGGAAACGCTACGGCAGAGTGTATTAAACTTTTCCACTCTGGAGGGTGGTTTCATATTTTTGCATTTTTAAGCCCCAAAAATGCCATCACAGGCTAAATGAAAGGCACTTCTGATAAACTATTTGTCGTTTTTACCTGCAAGCGTTCTCGTGTAAACAGGCCCTTAAACTGTGTCCAGATCATGTCATACATAAACATAAGAAGACTGGCTTTTAAAGGAACTGTTTTGGAATTTCATAAACGTACTTACAGATTAAACATGATCAAATCAAATATAGTAGGGTGACCAAACGTCCGTTTTTCCCGGGACATGTTAGTTTTTTGCGTCCTGTCCTGGGCGTCCGTTTTGGGTTTTTTTAAGTGATGGAAATGTCCAGGTTTTCATTACCGTTCATTTGGGGCCATTAAATTGAGCGTCTCTCATAGTTCTCTGTGACTCAGAAGGAGCGAGACACAACAGTCAGTCAGTCTGTAACATGCTGAAGCTCAAATGCACTTTTAACACTGACTTGTATAAGAAATTCTCCATTTTCCATCCCGGTCCGTAATGGAGCCCTACAGCGTCCTGCACGGGTCCATTTTTGGAGGCCCCAGTACAGAACCGCACCCGTGTAGTACAACACCGCACCATTAACCCGAAATTATATCAAACTTTGCCTACACCACGGACTGAACCAAGACTAAACCAGAACTAACCCAGGACTAACCTAGGACTGATTACAAGACTGAGGAGGAAGACTAATCCAGGACTGAACCGCAGGAGAAAGGACCGGCTCAGCTCCGCACCTCACAAAGTTAAGCGCGGCAAATGCCCGATCACAGTTTGCAGACAAACTGCTCGGCGTTCTCTCACTTAAGTCCAAGATTAGTCCTGGTTTAGACCTGGTTTAGTCCTGACCCACCCGTGTGTAATTACTACCCACCCGTAATACGCAATACGCGCTTATAAAAAAAAAGCATGCAAAATTGCACTAAAAAATGCGCGAAAAAGCGAGACCATGATATAGCAAGAGATGAGTGTAGCTCAATGTCGAGACCCCACGTCCCACCCCCCCGGTAAGGTGTCCAGGTTTTCACAAACGGAAATATGGTCACCCTAAAATATAGAGTTTACTGATAACAACTGAAATGCAGATTTATTCGTTTTATTTACAAAAACACTGAGCATTTTACCTTTAGTTCAGTAGAAATCGGCAACTCTAAAGCTGAAATGATCCAAATGATTCTAGTGAAGCTGTGTGGAGTTTAAAAACACAGTGGAGCACTTCTTGTATTACCCACATGACATCACAAGGTGGAACAGAGTGTTTTCTGTTTGAGAGAAGAACTCTAATTGCCTAAGTATGCAAGGTTTGTGTGTTAAACATGTGTGAATGAAACAAAACACAACTCCAGGTCTGTTTATGATGAGGAAACAACATTATAACAAATCTGAAAATTCCTTATTGTGGAATTTTCCAGGCAAATCAATAACGTCTCCATGGCGACAAGAAAATTAGAAAAGTTGTATAGTTCACATTTAACAAATTTTGAGTTTACTTGTTAGTTTTAAACCCAGATCCGCTCTAAACTCCACAAAACATAAGTAAGAAAACGGAAATTGAAAGACCATCTCCTTAAAAAAATGTCATATTGAAATTTGCAGATGTTCCCATGATGCACCGGGGCTCCTCATTCAGATGGAAATGCGGTGCCAAAAGGTTCAGAGCAAAAATGAAAAAATAAAAAATTGTACTCTGACAGCTGCACAACTCGCATAAAAATCTGAATCTTGGACCGAAAATCATTTCAGTAAACAAATTAAAATGCAAAAGTGGTTTAGAGGAGAAATGCATCATGGGATTACTAATCAGGGAGAGGTACGTGTAAGAATAAGTGGCATAATCGTCTTCTGTGACCATGAGTGAGGAGGTTGTGGGTTAAACTCCCTGTGTTACTGTGGCAGAGTGGTTAGTCTTCACTTTATACTTTATTTTTAGAGCCGTTTACAACACAGAAGGACCGCGTCACAGACAAATGATCAAAGTGCTTTCCAATAAAACCAACACAATATTAAAAAATTCAAAATATTAAGCAGTGAAATAAAGCAAATTGTGTAAAGTGCCATTGCATTACTGAGTGTCAATAGTGTTAAAAAGGCCAAAGTCACCAGATTCAGTTGGAAAAAATCAGGTACAAAACCAAAGGCTCAGTTAAAAAATGTATACAATCTGGATTCCTTTTTGGTTTATTTCTAACTCATGTAAGCAAGTGATAATGCATGAACTTTAATTTAATTCTCATTCATTTATTTATTTTATTATTTTTTATTTTATTAATCATTATTATTTTTTTATGTATTTATTTATTTTTTTTCTACCAGGTTTATTTTCATTCGTTATTATTTATTTTATCAGTATTTATTTCTTGTACCTGTCTGGCTCAAGTTTACACGTTAAGGGTGGAATTCTAGAGAGAAAAAATTTAAAATGATGAAGACTTATTGTGTAAAACTGCTGCAGAATATCTTTTGAATAAATAAAACTTGGAACAGAAATGAAACTCACCGAGGTTTGCAATTCCATGTTATAGGGATTCTGTTATGGCCTCTAGTTCTCTACCTTGTTTTGTTTTGTGTGTGTTTTAATTTCTTTGCTGTCCGTGTGGAGTTCTGCTCTGGGAGCCCTGGCCAAAGATTGGTGGCTGAATGGCAAAATTATTCTCCACCATCTTATTAAATTTGCCTGCCCCATCACCAAATCTTCATCCAACAAGATTAGGTAAACATTCACCCATGAACAATTTATTCACAACTATCGAGGTAAGAAAGACGAAAATTCAGTCACAGGTTGTTTTATGGCTCAAAAATACCCAGATAAACAGACATTTTGACTGTGAGCGGGGTCGCCTCTCCACAGATCTGACCTGTAACGTGGTCTGATTTGGGTTCTGTTAAGATAGAAAGGTAGGGATGGGACGACAATTTCCACAAGACGAGATACGAGATTGAGTCCATGAGAATGAGACAAGATGAGATTTTGGCATAATTTTTGTAGTAGTAATAGTCTGATTTAGTTCCTGAAGTTGGCCTCAGAATTTACTTCATTTCATATTTTTGTTGTTGTACCATACTGTGAAACATTCTAGACAAAGCAATAACATGTACATGGAGAAAAGGATTTGACCCTCGGCCAAAAACGTTAAACAATACACCTTAAAAATTGTTTAAGTTTCAGAAAAAAACTGTGCTTCTTACGTATAAATTGTGCCGAACTTTTGGACAGAATTCTCCTAAACTCTCTACTTTTTCTCTAATTTTCATCATACTTTTCTTCACAAACTGTTTCTCGGTTGGTGTAAAACTATACTTTATATTTATAACATGTATTATCCCACAAAATAAAGTAAAACATTTGAAAATTATTTTTAAAAAACTGTCAAAACGAGGAGTCTGACAGCAGCATTTACAGAAAACGTTAAAGTTTTTTCAATGTAAAGTGAATTGGAAGCCACGTCCATGGAGCCAGAAGCGCGCCCATGCTCACTTCCTATTTGGAGAGCTATGTCTATTTATATTTACAGTACAGCGGAGTGTGTGCATGTGTTTCAGTGGCAGAGTGGTTAGTCTTTCTTCCCGTGCGTCTCAGTCGGGAGGTTGTTTCCACTCACCCGAGAGTCACCGCCATCATCTGTCCATCAAAATGAGCTTTTATTAGCGTCGCTTTCTTTCTTGTAGCAGTTATTTTTGAGCTTTCGGTGACTCACGGTTGTATTCTGAGCTGTTTGAGCCGTTTAAGTGGTGCTTGGTGTCACCTGTGGGGTTGGAACTGCGGAAATGAGTAACTGTTATGAATCAGAACAGAGA